TTGGCTCGGGTTTCATAATTATAATTCATATTGGGGGTGGGGTTATTATGCATCCATAATATGCAGTGAAAAGTGTATAATTTTCTCACATCAAATAAGTCTGATTCTTTGTAAAGTGCTACAGTGGAGTATCTTTTCTCACGATTGAAAATGATTTCCAGGATAGTATTTTGCATTACCTCTAGATTATGTGACAGGCTTTTGCTGACGCCACCCCATATTGTAATGCAATATCTCAGAACTGATTCTGCGAGTGAATTATATATCATTGTTAGTAGCTTTTCATTATTGAGATTTCTGAGTTGGTAGAATTTATAAGATAATTTACTAAGTCTACATGTAGGTACGTCCCATCGAAGATGTTGGTCTACATATACACCAAGATATTTCATGTTTCATACCTTATCAACTGTAGGACACGTGCATATCATTGGGGTTTAGCAAATAGGTTTGTGTATAGTTTGTGTCCTATATTTTTCTGGTTGATTTTCGTTCTTCTCGAATTATTTTGAAATACATTACTGAATCAGAGAACAAATAATTGAATCATTCTTCAGGTTGAGGAGGTTCAAACTCCAGAAATATTTCCGACAGTTAGTCTAGAAAATATTATGAGTTAGTTGCTGCCTTCAAGAGAGAACACATCTTGAACATTTAAATAATTTGAAACCACATCTCTCTCTCTCTATCAGGACTGCTTTGTGTTTGGGTTCTGGTTTCATCTAGTTGCAGTGAAAGACAGAAGACGAATATCGTTCGCAGGATAATCTCGAAGCTTGACCTTGCAACTGACAACCAGAAGGGATCTCGTTCATCTTTGATATTCCAGAATGTAGTTCTCTGCCGATCTCATAGATGGCGTTTCCGTAAGGGGAGATGTCATCGCCGTATCTCAATTCGGAATATAAATTCTTCAAGGAAATATTTTCTTGTTCAGAAGTTTGCAATAAGCCACGCTGTATGTTAACCATAATGCACGTGCTATTTTGTCATGTGTTTAGACCTTCTTATACTTATTTACATACGCTATGTAGTCACAGAATTACAACCGTTCCGGGATTGTTAACACGGCTCGTAAAACATATATTGCTTCGTGTACCGTTTCTAGGTTACATAAATGTTTATTTCGAGTCCTTTTCGGGCACTAATTGATAGTTTAACCAACTAGTAATATGTACCGCAAAGTAAAAGCAAATTGCATTTCCGCCCATTTCCTCCGTCCATTTAATTTAGAACGGTTTTTTATCTATAATTTTTTCGGTTCATCAGAATGTGTTGATGATCGATTACTCATTTCGTTGTCAGCTGACCAGATAGATTATTGTAAACCACATAACAGAGATAATACACCGAGATGATGCAATTTTGAGAAGATCGTGAATGCTGAAATGAAGATATCACATATATTTTTTGGAAAGAAAGTTTTTGGCTTTCTACTACTCCATCTTGATACAAAAGAAAAGGATGAGGGAATCTTCCAAAGAAAGGAAGGAAGTAATCAATTTGAAAATAAGTAACTGTATACATGGATCTGTAGATCATGCAAAGAAGTAACTTTCAGACACAAACTGAAAGAAAGTCCTCCTGAAACAGCTACTTTCATATAAACATTGAATTATACGAAAGAAAAAAATTCTTTCGAAACAAATACTTCTATATGAACACTGAATTATACAGAAGATACTTTTCTGTACTCAGTTTGTATTTCAGACATTTGTTGTAGTATAAAAATCAGATATCATTCACATGAGTTCACATGTCTTAAGCAACATATATGTTGCTCACATATATGCTTACATATATGTAAGAAACATTTCAGAGATTGATTTAATTTGGACTTGAGGGATTTAAAGTTGTTGAGCAGGTTTTCATTCGAATATAATGATGGCTAGACATTTATCGATTTGACATCGACCGAATTCTTTCTAACAAAATCTTCTTACTTTGAATTTTCGCAGAGTGACATCTCTCCAGACTCAACAATACATCAGTGGTATGAAAAGTAAATGTGCTGGATCTGACAGCAATTCTCTCATTATGTTGAAGTATATTGAAAATCATCTTATCAACCACATAACACACATATTCAATTCCTCTTTAGAAACAAATCATTTTCCTTCTGCATGGAAACATGCAATTGTACTCCCTTTGCCAAAATATGAAAACCCAACTAAACTATCTCATTTGAGGCCAATTAGCAAACTGCCTATCCTATCTAAGGTGTTCTAGTAGATTCTGAAAGATCAAATTGATTCTTTTGTACACAGTAATAATTTAATACCAAATGTTCTATCTAGAGTTCGTGCATTCTATAGCACCATCACCGCTCTTGTCAACATCACGCAAGATTTATTGAAAGCAGTCAGTATATCTGGATGGAAAGTGTTCTAGTGCTTTACCTGTTGACTAAGGAATACCTTAGGACTACATCCGTGGCCCCCTTCTGTTCTCTCTTTATATATGACTTACATCAAATAATTGATCATTGCAGAGTTCATCATTACGCAGATGATACTCGATTTCCTCCAAGTAACTGGCAGGTGGCAATGGAAAAAATTAACAGTGATCTACAAAAGTTACTGGATCTATCTGAAGCCCATAACCTGAAATTGAATTCTAAAATATCTTATCTGATACTTTTTAGTCCGAAACACAAAAGGTGGAAAATTGAAGGAAGAATTGACATCAAACTTGGACAAGACTTACTACAAATAATTACAGAAAGCAAGAACTTGGGTTTGTGGCTGATCTGAGATTTCACAAACATATAAATTCACTTTGTCGTAGCTCTTACAGTATCTTACGTCAACTCTATCAAAGGAGAGATATTATGCCTTCCAAATTGAAGTTGAAACTTTGCGAAACCCTCATATTGTCTAGATTAGCATATTGCGATATAATCTACGGGCTTGCTTTGATATAATTTGATGTAAATCGCTTACAAAAAATAAAAATCAATTGGACTCGCCTTTCTTATGGCGTGAGAAAATTCGACCATATATTACCCAAGTTCGAGAAGTCAGGTTGGTTATCGATTGCTAAAACCTGGCAGCTCCACCTACACGTGGATACACATAAATTTATCATTTACAAAGAGCCAAATAATATTCATGAAAGATATGAAACTTTTAAATCTCAGAATAATTCGAGAACACGAAACCATCACACTTTTATTATTCCAAAACACTCGACAGCCTGCTTTTCTCGTAGTTTTATTTACAACTCTCTCAAACAGTATAATGCTCTGCCCAGTGAATTTAGACACTATTCCATATATAACTTCAAGAAAAAGTTGAAAACATATCAAGTCTTCTGGATAGATAATATATTCATGTTATGCCTTGCTCATATGGTTTTCCCTTTGTCTCATTTTTGTGTATGTGTTGCTATATATTTTACCTTATTTAAGCTAAATAGATTTTCAATATTAACTTTGAAATTCATAGTCTTTGTTTTTTTTCTTTGTTTTACAAAGATTCATGAACTACCCGCTTATTAATGTATACTAGGTAATTATTTTTATATATGTCAATGAATAAAGCTCATTTATTATTATTATTATAACGTCCATAAACGGGTATACGTTTATGGCGTTTACAGATTCAGGAATCTAAATTTTCAATACGGACCGGAAACAAGAATCTCCCGATATAATATGGCCTTTTTGTCGACAACTTCATTGATGTATTACCGTAATCACCATGTTAGGAATCACACGTTAAAAGGAAAGACCTCGTTAGTCCTTAGCTCGCACAAGTTTCGACTTCTGAGGGTTATCGTTCGTAGGGGTGCGAAAACTGGTTAACGGAAAAACAGATTTCAAACAGATTTTTTTTAAAACCCAAAACTCCAGGTTTCCAACTTTAAAACTGATGACGGAAAAAACCTGTTTTAATCATTCAATTATTAAATTTTGAAATGTCATTTGTATCAGTTCTAAATTAGGCCCATTTTATCCTGGACACATTGTATTATAAAAGATTCATCGAAACATCTCCATGTCTATATCAAATCTTCAAATAGTATCATTTCAAACTTCATAGCATTTCAAAACATTTACATGAAATTGTCATGAAAGAAGAAACTGTTACTGTCTACATGATACTTCATTAAATAATTTCTTCATGATACTTTATTGGATAATTTCTATCAGAAAACATGGGTCGTAAAACATTGAGCGAAACGAAAAAATATTCCAAGAATTTTCATTCATTTTCATAAAATAAACATAAAACGAACAGGTCGTTGACATTGTTTCTTTTTATTGTAACTTACGAATTCAAGTTTACTGAAACAAATTAAGAAGTTTATCAAAATGTTTTACTGAGAATTTTGCTGAAAGGGTCACTTGGAACGATGTGTTTAATTAAAAACTAGTTTTTTTTTTCATATTACCGATACGTTTCGACGATAAACGTGACAAACAAAAACGTATACGTGGACTGTTAAAAAAATAAGGTGAAAGTTGAAATTTCGCCGGCTACGTACATTCGATTAGAGACTGTTTATTTTTTTTTTATGTTGTACACTCGTTTCGAATATATAATCACAGTTTTAGCTGAAATTAAGTGCTCGATAACACTTGGAAAGACTCACCTGGAACGCTCACTTGAAAAAAGTTTTACACAAAGCCAGACTGTCTCTATGGACATGTCCAAAGATTTGTGGTAAAACTTGGGGTTGAGGTCCCAAACAAATCCATTGTATTTATGTGATGATTGTCAAACCAATGATCACTTATGGTGCAATTGCCTGGTGGCCGCGCCATCTGAACGCGAATAGATCAAGCAATAATGGCGATATATCAAGGAGGTTACGTAAAGCGCCATCTGCCCGCGAATAGATCAAGCATTCAAACGGGAGAGAAGAGTTACAAACAAACATACATACAAACAGGTGAAGCTAATATAAAGCGTGCAGTAAAAAAAAAGTGGCCAGACATTTGCTGTTTTCAAGTAAGAAGCGTGTCTGTCAATCCTCAACGTATGTTTTTTTTGCAGAAATCGAAGGTGTCCGAGATTCATCGTGCCCAAGAATATGCAAAGAAAACGCTTATGGTGATCCCGTTTGTGGAAGTGATGGGATTATCTACTCAAATATTTGCGAATTGAAGAAGAAGACGTGCGGAAAGGGTAAGATTCAATTATTGTTGAAAAACTGTACTCTTCACTGCTTTCCAAATTGTTTTTACGATAACTCTTTTCATAGTTCTTTGTAATTCTAAGGATGATTCCTTCTATTGTTTTCATTGCGTTATAGCAATATTATGTTTTTCAAAAAGTGAATGCTCAATCGTGTGGCAACATTCATGTGGCGTGACATTTCTCCACAGAAAAAACTCTTAGTGATTTTTCTAATAGCTTTTGTTTTTACAAGCTTATATTTTTTGAATTTTCATTATATGTATATCAAATGAAATGGTTCAAAAGATGAAAATCAAAATTTTATATAAACGTTTTCAAAAGCGAACTTTCATTCACATATGTTCCAAAAAAAATGAAATCAAACTTGTAACTCAGTCTCTCATAATATTCATTTATTCATTTATCCAATTATCTATTCATTTCTAAAATCCAGCTTGAGGGCGAAGCTATATTCCTCAATTTGCAAGAGTATTGTATAGCGGGGAATTTAAAACTAGATTGGTTCGAGGTTTAGGCAAAACAAATATTTCTTTCCTTCTATTATTGAAGTATGTACTGCAGTTCAGATAAATTTGGAAGTGTGGATTATCTACTTTATTATGCAATAGCCTATAGAAAAATAATAGAAAAGCAAGTTTTCTTCTAAATTATAAGGTTGTGTATATAAATTCATTCAATGAAGTATGATAACTAAGATTGAAAATATATTCACCCTGTTTTTTGCAATGTAGAAATCTTAAGAACTTTTTCTGTACCTTTTCAATTTCATTTTTATGAGCTGCATAATAACGAGACCATATTATTGTACCATATTCCAGTATACTAAGGACAAATAAATTATAAAGTGTTAGCAATGTGGATATTTTTGTAAATTTGAATGAGTTCCTAATAATGAAGCCAAGCATTCTATATGCTCTGTTTATAATGTTGGTTATATGTTGCTCAAATGTGAGTTTTTCATCCAGCGTAACTCTCAAATCTCTACATTTTGTCTTTTTGGCTAAATATTCATTGTTTATCTTATACTGAAAGTCATTCCGTAGTTTTTTACTAGTTATTAACACACCAAAGCATTTGTCAACATTAAATGTGAGGGCAATTCGACAGAAACCACTCGTAAACTCTATCTACGTCATTTTGTAGCAATCACATCTTCTTCACTTTTGATTTCTTTCAATAATTTAAAATCATCTGCGAATAGTGCACATTGCGAGCGCACTATTGAAACTTGAAAAAATTATCAAGTTTTATGTTTCTCATTGAACTAATTATTCTCGCGGCTTTTCAAATTCATAAAGTCAATTGCAAATGCATCTAACCACGATGTTGTTCTGCATCTCCCCTAACATACTAACTTTCCATATCTATGATCCCGGAAGGCAGTACTCGAACGAATGATCCGGAATCTAACTCGTAACTAGATAAGACAAGGCTGGGTAATTACCCGAATCCAAAGCCAACTAGTTATATGAAGTTTAAATAATCAATGAATTGGAACAAATTGTTTCGCCCGCGGCCTACTTAGATTTCCGTATCAGCGCCAGGATATCGTTTACCGGTAGTTGAAAAAATTGGATCGAACTGGTTTACCAGGTGGTCCAATTATTCATCTAGAACCGTCAAAGTCTGGAACAGATCATGTCATATGGCATTCACTGCAGTTATATTTGTGGAATTGATAAAATGATAACGGAGATATCCAGTCGGGTCCAAGACCCTCACAATTTGATGGAAGATATTAATATTTCCTGACTGTATTACAGAAGAAATTGAAACACCTTCATGTTCATTATCAACAAAATAATTGAGTTCAACTGAAAGAGCTACTGCGTAATGAAACGCGCCTTGAATAAAGATATAATAATGACAATAATTAATAATAACGATAATAATCTGGTCTTCACATATAGTAGGGGGTATACTTGAAGTCAGGTTGTCAGGTTGTTGTACACTGTAGGTTAATGGACTGACACCTATCGGAAAACAGCTACTCCCCTGGCTAATACCATGAAGGGGGTTGGATTATATCCGATGGGTGTCAGTGCAGGATTCTTCACAGAAGTAATTCCTGCATATGCTGTTGGCGATACAATTGCCGCAATCGATTTTCAAATATTAGAATACACTTGCATACCGGTTTTGGATTATTTAGCCACTCGTCAGTGCCAGGTAGGTCTATCATCACCATAAAGTCGATGATTTCCGATAATTGAAAATCTGATTCCTTCAGAGCATCGTTCCTCGAACTAGGCTGGAGCGAACATATTTGTCATCGTCCCATCTGTCCGTGAACGAGGTAACCAACCGCATATCCGAATCGCCCAAGTCCTCGTATAAGGACAAAAACTTCACATATAGTAAGGGGCATGGAAGTTCGACCTGAAAAAATTCAGAACACAACTACTCCCCTGACTAATACCACGAAGGGCGTTAGATCATATCCGACAGTTTTCAGTGCTTGATTCTTCACAGAAGCAATTCCTGCATTTACTGTTGGCGATACAACTGCCGGAATCGATTTTCAATCATTCGAACCCACTTGCAGACCGGTTTCGGATTATCTGGTCAATGATTTTCCATTCAAAAATCGAATTTCTTTCAGAGTATCATTTCTCGCATTAGGCTGATTCGAACCACAACATATTTGTCATTGCCCCATCCGCCCGTAAACGAGGTAACCAATCGCTCAATTACTCATATAAGGAAAAAACTTCACACATTAGGGGGGATATACTTGGAAACTGGCTGCAGATCGAGTTGTTCTTTTAGATAATTCAAATAATCTGGTCATCGGAACTGTCGGGAAATAGCAAATTTGCTGATACGATCCGATCTCACTCTACTTCTTTGGTAGTAATGAAGTGGACTCAGAGGGAGCAACTCGACGTAAAGACCCAAAAAGTGATGCATCTCCATAGGAATTTGCATCCTAAACCGTTTGTTTCACTGTTATACTTCCTCCGACAACAGTGAAGTCGTGAACTTTTAAGTATGGAATGTATACATGACAGAATAGTAGTGTATAGAGGCTGTAAAATCATCAGGAGCTTGGATCCCATTTTCTGGATTGTCCCTTGTTTGACCATGACAGAGCAGAAATTGGATCATTTCTCTTTAGGGCAGCTGCTCGAGCGGCTGAGGTAATTAGTTTGGTTTTCTACAGTGAATGAGGTGATCACAACTCTATCACCAAGTTGGAACCCGTACAGCAAAAAGCACAAATAACAGCCACAGAGGTCAATTCACTCATGTCATAACACAAGGATAACTCGATGCATGAGGTTCGAATATCCAAATTATTGAAAATAAAAATATTATCATCCCAAGACGATTCGAAACATCTTGAAGAAACATTGTTCTAAATTTCCTTTTCCTCGTAGTTTTTCATCATTTAATTTCATTATGTTATTTCATTTTCATTTCTTTGTTTTTTGTATTTATTTGATACCCCAGTAACAGATCCCTATAATCAAAAAATAGTGTATACTTATCTTGTATTAGTAATGTTATCTGCAAAGCTGAATGTAATGAAAAGTAAATACGTTTTCTATACATAATCTTCAACTGATTCAATCAATCGAATCGTCAATTAATCAATCGAAATATGGTTTATTGTCAAAAATAGTAGCTTGTTATGTGGAATAAATAAATAGTCTAATAAATCATAAAAACAAAGTCAAAAACTATACCGAAAGGATTTTGTGCGACTTTTTTCAAATGGACTAGTGATTCAAAAAGAATGTTCATTTGCATATTTAATCAATGTTTTGTGTTAATTGGTTGAAATGTGACAATGCTATTCATGCGAGGCAAGGGAGGCGGTGCTACTATGAATTCATTGCATATCAGTTTGAATTCCATAACGAAGGTTCCAAGTGGAAACTGAATGGGAAAACGTGATTTTCGTGTAATTCAATATGCCTATGTTTATTCGCGTAATCAAGTGAAAATTTTTGTTCATATCCTTTTCACATTTTTTGGTTTCTGAATTTTCTAATCTAAGAGCTGTAAAAACTTGTTGTCATGTACCGATGTCAACAATTTTGATCATTTCTGATGTATTCAGTGGCCGTTCTTTCGGGCATGTTGGGCAACATGTTATGTGTATCTTGAAACGCGTTATTGTAGTCCGCTGAGTTATACCAACATACTTTTTGTTGCAATCATAACTATTTTTCTATGAGTCCAACATTCCAGTCTTCTTGTCTACCGAGTTCCCAACATTTGTTGAAGGTTCCATTACAATCTCTCACGTAATAATAACATATAGAAACCAAGAAAATAAAGGCATCATTAGTTATTAGTCATTGAGATATATCAGGATGCAACAAACTGAAACAACTACCTACTACTAGGAACCTATTAAATGACTGCTTTTGTTCTTATATCTTATAACTTCTTCACAGTCAGCGAGGATGAAAATACTGTTCAAGAATTATTTTTGGGTACTGAAAGTGAAATTCACAAAAAAAATAATATCCTGTGAAAAATTAAGTATTACAATGAACTAAATCATACCTGCAGCAAATTATCCAATATACCCGACTTACACCAATTAGAAATACTATAATTACCAGCAACATCAGAACGTCTAATCATAGTTTATTATAATCGAATCACGTACCTTTATAAGATAATAATAATATAAATGTAATTTATGATACAATTCGACTTGGTTTAGAGCATGGCTATATTAAATATGATACCACCGTTAGACTGATTGAAGAAAACAGTAAATATGCAGGTATTCTCTCATTCCGCATCTCACTGTAAGTAAATGAAAATCACTTCATGAGCTCAACCAAGCGTGAAATTAGTATACTGGGTGGAGTCTAGGTCAGACAGACATGTGATGTTCGCATTCCGTGAGATAGAAAAAGTATGGTAGTTGAAATTATAATTTTTTTCAGGATTCTGAACGTGTATTGTTTTATTGAGTTTGTTGATATTTCATGACGGTTTGGAAGGTACAATTGATTCGTGTCCAAAATGTTTCATCACTGCGCTGTTTAATGTCTCGGGAAACTGGCATAGGTTGATTTTTCTGTGATTAACTAACTCGAATAGTTCAAAGTGATATTCAATATTTCTGAGATATCTTCGTATTGGTTTCTGAAGGAAAACCTTGATACCCACCCGGGGGCTGTAAGATTCTCAATGTCTCCTGGAACACCTTCCAACTTAGTTTTTTTTGTAATTCATGTATTTTGTCGATTTTTTTGTTTCGCGAAAAATTATCATGCTGACATTATTTTATTTTCAAACATACCCCAGTTCAACAAGAAAGATCAACGTAAGGTATCATTCCTCAAATTTGGCTCAGTATTTCAAAAAGACAGTTATAATTATGAGTGGTTTATGATACTAGCGCTCCCGATCGGCACAACATTTTAATGATAATAATAATGATGAGAAATTATAATAAAGGTCTTCATGAGAAATGAACATTTTTATGTTTTTCACCACTTTTAGTGGTAAAAAACATAGTTAGTTAAATACAAATGAAAGTATTGAAAAAATATAGACATTTTCTTTTCTCATTTTTCATGACGATTATAATGATGAGAAATTATAATAAAGGTCTTCATGAGAAATGAACATTTTTATGTTTTTCACCACTTTTAGTGGTAAAAAACATAGTTAGTTAAGTACAAATGAAAGTATTGAAAAAATATAGACATTTTCTTTTCTCATTTTTCATGACGATTTTCTATCACGTAGTAACGGCTACATCCATCAATTTATTTAATAAATGTCTTCATTTTCCACACATACTTCAACTCAAAATATAATTTATCCAAAAAACCATCAAAACATCTGGAAAAAGGTACTACAATGCTGGAACAATGATCGATAAGTTGTTGTAGAGACATACCAAATTTGAGAAAAAAATCGATTCAGAGACAAAAGAGAGTTTTGTCGTATTCAATATATCTTTTTTTTCAGGGGTGACACTTTCTGCCGATCATGCGCTTTGCAAGAGGCCTAATGGTTCCAAATGTGAGCACAAATGTGGAGGAGAAAAAGATCCCGTATGCGGAACAGACGGTCGAACATATTTGAACAGGTGTATGCTCCAGGTGGAAATATGCAGGTAAAAACAAGTTTTTAATGAATTTCAATCTGTTTGAATATCACTGGAGTTTGTTCCCAACACCAAACCGTTATTTCAACACCTCGACACCAGTTTAATCTTCATCCTGAAGATGATCACTTGGTGATCGAAACACGTGTCAAGGTGTTAAAAAAACGGTTTGGTGTTGGGAAAAAATCCAGTGATATTCATTACTACAACAAAGCTTCCAAACAGTACATCACAAGTTCAATATGTTCATTGGGTTCAGAAAAAAAATCCATTCCTTTTGAGAATTTGTTTTATTTTTCAGTGTTGAACTGAATCTATTCATTGAATGTAGACCATTATTGACGAAAGTTAGAACAGTCAGAAGATCAGAAATTTATTTCCATGGTAATGAGATGATTCAATAATTGCTAAAATGTGTATATTAACACAAACATACGAGAATATTCATTTGTGATATACATTCGAAATAATGTCGGAATTGCGGAATCATCAAATGAATTCGCAACTAGTTTAGAGTGTAAAATAGTTCGAGTGCAAGGAAGGCAGTAGTGAACAATTGGAATAAGATCGATAATGATAGAGGTAGTTGAAGTACTCTGTTTAATTATTATTTTAATAATCAAATAGTGTTTAAATTTGAATGAACGTACCACTTATCTATTATCAGGAACCCATGCAGACATACAATGGTATCAGCTCATGATTGATAAAGAAGACAAATAAATACAGATAAACAGAGAAATACAAGCAAACAAGAGAAAGAAAAGAGAGGCTAAGAGAATTAAGGCTAGGAGATATTACTAAAACAAGTGCATCGGAAAGAAATGATTATATCCTTGTATCCCTCGGCTTTAGACTGACAGTCATCGTATAGACAGTCATCCTAAGAGGTCTTAGGAAAAAATAAGACTATATACTATGCGGAGAAGAGTTTCATCAAATGAAGGTCAAGATTCTTCTAGATCAAATGAAGCTGAATAAGCAACATTGAGTCAAGTCAGAGAGTAGGCACAGGTCATTTGCACCAGAGACAAGACTCAGCTGGCTAATCACAGCAATACGTACGTATTGATTAAATTTACATACCGATTCTGGTAATGAAAGAAGTAGTGAGTTTACAGTCCTAAAAAAAAGAAAAAATTTTACCACCAATAAGCACCCCAATTGTAAAATGGAATTTAATAGGAGGAAACCAAAGAAAAATAGATGAGACAAAAGAAAGTCAGGAGAAAAGAAATGAAGTGATGCTGGTTTGAAGCTGACTTAGCAGCGGCAGCGGGTCTCCATGTATGGTACTATTAGCAACGCCTATTTTTCTGTGATGGTTTACTGCAAGTGAAAGAAATCAGACGACGCAACAAAAGTACTCCATCTAGTCGTATCAGCATACTTACGAGATATGCTGAATCTACTCTTCAGAAGTCGAGATGGAGGACACTGACATCAACATGACCCTGGCTCAATAGTAATGACCTAGGGGTTATTTTCAATTGAAAAACTGTCTGCAGCAAAACAAGTTATCATTCGTTTGGTCACCATATTTTCTGAAAGACATTCTGCTTATTGAAACGACTCAACGCAGTGCAACTAAATCAACGTTCATCTAGATTAAATCAAGAATTTGCGGTATATAAATATATAAATTTTTGTTTGCAAAAGCAAGTGAACGGGTATCTTTGGCATAACAAATAAAAGGGTTCTGATGACGTTGAAGAAAAAAAGGGCCATTTCTAGATTAGTCCATAATTATTCTAATGATAGCCCCAATTGAATATATTTCAACTCTTTTATTTCAGGCAAGGAGTAGTAAGAACCAACAAAAAATACTGTCAAACTACACGCCACTGTCGTGAATCCTGCTGGAGAAATGCCAAACCGGCATGTGGTTCCGATGGCAAAATCTATGCCAATGTTTGCAGGATGAAATCCAAAAATTGCGGGTAAATATCTCATATACGCCGAAAGAAATATTTCTGAAAATGATTATGTTTTATTTGAGGAGAAATTGTGAGAACATTTTTGTAATTTTCCACTTTTTTTCATAATATGGTTGTTAATCCGAAGTAGTTCTCCAGAAAATATCTATCAAGGAATTATTTTTGTTTAAAATTTTCATTTTTTCAGGAAGCACGTCTTTGAAGTTCCCATGGCTTACTGTACTAGTCAAGAAAGAACTTCCCATAGCTTGTCATGTCCAGTCGGTTGCAAGAATGAAATAGAAAAGCCAACTTGTGGATCGGACGGTTTTGTCTACAGAAGCGAATGCGAACTCAAATTACTCAACTGTGGGTAAGTAAGGAAATAAAAACTCAGAATTGCTACAATGACAGCGTACAGTAAAGAATGCATACTCTCTTCCAAAATCAAAAGCTTTTATCAAAAATCTGCACTAACGTCCTTATGGTATCATAGGATGTATTCATAGGATTGTCATCTAAATAAAGGAAACCCATCTCCAGGGCTCAAATCCTTAAAGAACTCAAAACTAGGAAAAGGTCCAAGCAGAAAGATAGAGTCCCAGTGATCAAGATTCCTTCCAAGATTTTGTCACAGATTCTCTTGGTTCATCATTTATCTTTTTTTAGCCTATTAACCATCATCCTCAATTCCTTTTTCCTTTTTCCTTGCCAATCATTATGGAAGAAAGGATGATTGAATGAATCAGCCAGTATTCAGTTAAAGTATTGCAACAAGAAGGATGGAAGTTTTGTAAAAACCAATCAGAAGAGGAATCATCAGTTCAAATGATGAGATTAATTTAAACTCAAATTCATGTATATATAACTTAACATTTTTGGTATCTAGATATATTCCTAAAACACATGCGCCATTTGTACGTTTTTCTTTCAGAAACAACAGACGAGTAACCAAAGTTGACTACGAGAAATGCAGAGGAAGACTATCGAAATGCATCAAGATGAAGTGCTCAAAGGATTTCGACCCAGTGTGTGGTACTGACGCTAGAACTTATACCAACCAGTGCCAGTTGAACTTAGCCACGTGCCTGAAGAGTGTTCAGTTTGCTCACGTTGGCAACTGCACCAAGCTGAAAGAACAGCAGCCTTGTCCAACGAGCTGTGCTAACGAAGTTGGAGACGAGCCTGTTTGCGGATCAGATGGAAATGTTTACAGGTATGTAGTACATACTGTAAAAAGTCAAAATTATTTTCCATGAAATTTTGAATAGGAAAAATGCAAAACGAATTAAATTTTGAACAGAAAAAATGCAAAATGCAAAAAATTAAATACCTACCTGTTCCAAAATTTTAGATCTGAGTTCGAATTCGGCATTGATAAATTTACCCCTTTTGATGTGGACGGCACTGAATTGTCCATTAAGATTTCGACTTCCACACGTTCCGAATCATTCTGTAAAAAGTCAAAATTATTTTCCATGAAATTTTGAATAGGAAAAATGCAAAACGAATTAAATTTTGAACAGAAAAAACGCAAAATGCAAAAAATTAAATACCTACCTGTTCCAAAATTTTAGTTCCCTGTTCCTGTGAATTCTCCTCAACGTGGGTTTTCACTGTTCCTTCAGTGGGTAGAATTTTTACCGTGGGGTGTTTTTTAAGTATATGACGCTTTAAATTCGTCACGGAAGATTTAAAGGAAATAACCTGCTTGCAAATTTCACAGGTTGCTAGTTGCAGTTGTTTCTCTGTGATTGAAAAAAAAATCCAAATAGGGCTTGATCTTCTATTCATCTTACACTAGAATCCAGAATCCAGCCTGTTACTGAAATAAAACTCTAAAACAACAAGACGAATAGAGGGGACGTACGGAAATTCGGAACCAGTCGGAACCGAACGCTAAAATGTGACCATGACGCAAGATACGTCATTCAAGAATAGGTGAACATGAACAGTTCAAAAGAACAGGTTTTCGATAAGAACTGGAACAGTTCGAACAAGTTCTTCAAATTTAACTGTTCAGTGCCATCCCTAGTATGTACAAGGGCGTACACAGGATCAAAACTAGGGGGAAGCTAGCCATGTTCGCTCAGGTTGCAACATTTTAGTACGGAAAAGGTGAATGAAACCAAAATTTTGAGTAAATCAACTATAACAGTGTGTCATTAACTATGACTTTACAATAAGTTCCACAAAATATGATACAAAAAATAAGTGACGATACTATTTGTTTATTTTCTTCAATCATCTTCTGGTGACCACTTTGTAATTGTACTTCAACTAGAACATTTTCAAGGAACGCTTTTGCAGCAGCTGTTGAAGTTTTGTGGTAGTGACTATCTCCAAATGTAGCAATACTAGCAAGAAAAAGAACGCAGTACATACATAGAGAACTTTTCAAACGACGACGAAATAGTTATTTCAGGAATTATTATGAATTCCAGCAACAAATTTTGATAAACAGGTGTTATAATTTTGCTTCCAAAGGGCAGCTGCCCCTACCCTTCGCTGGGTACGCTCCTGGATATATAATAATAATGTTAGCAGACTGTTTGAAAATACATATATCAATAAAAGGGCTTTTTGTTCAAAAATGTTCGAATCTCTCCAGAATGAGTCTAACGGATACAAAGCAAAAGTCCACCTTGTGATTTCAAAGAAGCATCTAAGCATTATTTTAGTTACAATGACTAACTTTTCTAACTACAAGTTCAACTTTACAGATCAAATTGCCATCTGAGGAAAGATACATGTGGACAATTGGTCATTGAAGTTCCTCTGCATCACTGCAGGACTACGGCAGCCTGTAACGAGAAATGTCCTGAAGACAAGAACTTTGTGTGCGGATCAGATAACAAGCTCTACAGAAGCGAATGTGAAATGAAACGAGACAACTGCGGGTGAGTTATAGCTGTCAAATAGGTACTCTAGAATATAAGGAACAATTTGAAAAATCAACTGTGACCCAAGTCAATAACATTCGAATAATTTTTCAAATGTACTCTCGTTAATGTCTCTCTGTTGAATTCTTCTGCGCAATTTTGTCATCATCGAGCTTTTTTATTTTCTTCTTTACTTTTGTACAGCCAAAACGATTTTTTTTATCCGATCGTCGCGTATAAAAAGTACGGATCCTCTTCGATAACAGGAGACGTTCAGGACAGTAGTTCGACACAGATGAGCCACCCGGTACTTTCCAAATGTGATGGTCAGCGGCTGGTGTGAATCATTATAACTTTCTGCATACAGAGCAGACCATTACAGCAGAGTCCTATTGTGAAGAGATCCGCTCCTGCTCCACGACAACGTCCTTCCGTACGTTTCACAAATCAGCGCCCGAAAATTAAACGAATTGGGCGTTAAAGTTCTACCTCATTCACCATACTCCCAGACCTCTGGCCAGCCAACTACATGCTTTTCAAGCAGTTTGATAACTTTCTCACGAGTGATGTAACGACGCACTCCTTACATCCACAGAAATACTTCGCTGCATTAATTTTTCATTGAAATCCATCATAAATAAAGAAATATTCATTTTCTGTTTCAGAAAACACATCTTCGTTGTTCCCATGAAACGTTGCATAGCAGGCTTTCACTTCAAAGGCTGTCAAAAAATCTGCCCGACTTATTATGATCCAGTTTGCGGAACAGACAACATGACCTACAGCAACACCTGCTTTTTGGAAATTGAAAATTGTAGATCGAGATCCCTGGTGACAATGAAACATATGGGAACTTGTGCTGAACCTTTGAATGAAATACCCAAAAATTACCTATATTGATAATCGAATCTTTTGTTTATTTATTCCCCCGTCGGCAATTAACTTTATGCTGAAGTCTGAAGTGAATCCCTATAAATGACGGGATTTTATTAAATATATACTGACTCTCATGTCTTTAACAAAGCTTTCATAGGTTCGAGTTCCACTTACATAAAATATTTGAAAATAGAAATAAATATGAAATGAATTCAATTATTCGAACTTTTAGAAATTTGCATATCGAGATCAAGCAACATTGAAGGCTCAGTAAGAACAAGAAAATCAGAAGACTTATGATTCATATTGAATGAGTAATTTTTTGTGGAAGAATTCAGTTTTTACTTCTTCTGAACATATCCAAGGAAAGTGAAAAATTAGAGTCATATGAAAAATATGATGTGTTCTGTGAAATAAATTGTGCGTTCTGTGGTGTCTACCTTCGGTGTCTAATGAATTGTTCTATCTGTAATGTCCTTGACGGAATATAAAGTTAGAGATTATAAGTAATAAAATATAATATGTAATAATAAAAGCTCGTTAATGTATTCGAACGGTCTTACACAGAATAAATATACCATAACACAGTATTGTTTGATATAGGTGAAAACTGGATTATTATTCAACATTTTCAAAGTATTTGTTCTTTTAATGAATATTTCATTATGTTATTTCATTTTC